CCCTGACGGAGCAGAGGAACAAGCGAATTGAAGAAGAAATAGAGTGTGTGAGCGAGCAGATGGGAACAGGAGATATGCATGTTTTGCAAATCTGACATTCTGACATGCCCTTCTTGCAATGGTTCCCGGCTTGGTTCAGGGTATGTTCGTTTGGACTGGTTCAAGGAATGTTTGATTGAAGACAAGAAACATTGGTTGAGTTTGATCGGTTTGATCAGTTTTGCTCATTGCTGAGGATATTCATTGTTGTCAGCGTACGTCTGTCTTTCCAGTGCTTTTGGCTTGAACTTGAGCTCTTTGAAGGCCGCTCCTGTGCACATGTGCTCGCTTGCGTGCTCTTGATATCGGAGGTCCCCAGCTGCCAATATATCGGCCACAAAAAGTACCAGCAACATCCGTTTTTGCTTGTACAACCAAGAGCACTTCCTCTTGCTGCATGGGGGAATGAACATCATGTTTGTTGGTATATTGGTCATTTCAACATGTTCTCATGGCTTCACTGTTGACGGCCTTGCGCTCAACTGTTCTGTGTGCCTTTCTTCGGTTCCTTTCCGCTGAAGCACCCGGCGCCGCGCCTGCCGCGCCGCTGGTCATCGGCGGCATCGAATTCTCCCGGGAGGATGATATCGAGACGCTCGGAGATGCTATTTTTGCGCGGTGGAAGGGCATGTGTTTTTTGGTGCCTGGCGCACGGTGCTGAGGAATCGCAGGGTTTTCCCAATTGCTGTCATACTCAGAGGCTTTGTCCATCAGATCTCTGTAGTCTCCATGCTGGTTTGCCCAGAAGCGGGCTCACCAAGGGCTAGTCCAGTAATTACCTGCAACCAGTTTGTGTACATGACCCATATATGTATATATATACTGTGTATGTATATTGACGTGAATCATCATAGAAATTCCAGGTGTCAAATCAAGAACATGGACAATCCCTGGATCCATTCAGAAGCATGGATCATTTCATGTTGGCCGACAAGAAATACCTGGCATGTGCGAGGTTGTGGTTGTTTGCTTGATCGCCGTGTGATGAAACTCACATGCTTCAAAGACAGAGTCCTTTCGTCTTCTTTGCTCCGATTTGAACCGAGGAACATGGAGAAACTTTCGAATCTGTTTGGGCAGGCCGGCTCTTGTTGCCAAAAAATCTAACATCTACAGACTGGCGAAGACAACATCTCGCTCTCCGATTTGTTCGGGTCTTCGGGTGAACTACACCTCGAATGAAAAGAACATTTAAAAAAACTCTGTCGAATATCCATGGGCCTGTGGCCAGTGGAATCAGGACATTCTCAGACTCCGATTCCCAGCTAAACCTCCAGACTCCTAGTGAAAAGGAAGACATGGACAAGTCAGTTTATGGATGTTTATCGCCAAACTTTTCCCCCATTGGTTCAAGAACCTCGCTTCGCACTTCACCCGACAATTTCACCCTTGGCCGCGTGTGGCAGGTCTTCTACACTCACCTTTTGTCGGATGACAGTTTTGCGGCTGACAACTGGCGCGCCCTGAGTGCAGAAGTTTGGCAACTGGCGCAGGTCGCCCTGGAGCTTCCAGCCATGGCTCTACCAGTCGCCATGTGTTGCTGAGATCCGAAGAATTGCTTGGATTTATTGTGTCTATACGATTGAAGAGGTAGGTTTCTCATGTCTGTTTTTTTCCCGAAATGATTTGGATGTGTGGATTTTTTTGTTATATAATATCATATAATATCAATGTTAAAGCAAGAACCCACAGGTGGGGATTGAACAAATATGTTACTCTTTCAGGTGGTGAAAGGAGTTTTGGATTTGTCACGTTTTTGTGTGCTTTTGCAGAGACGTTTCCCGGTCTCTATGCCCACTCCTCATGGACCCCCAACTACTACATGTTTGCAGTCTACATTGTTTGAGGTCCAAAGTCGTTGTAGTTTTGGGTCCCAAAGTCGTTGGAAGATGAGTTCCCGCCTCCCCTGAGCAAGTCGTCCAAGGCTTGTACAACTACTTTTGGTGCCCTGGCGGGAGTGGCACGGTTCTTGGGTTGACAGCAAGACTTGGGAGACTACCCATGGTTTATTTATATATTTTTCCGGACCCACAAAAACAATCCTTGCATATGCTACATTCGCAAGATCCCCAACGTTCAAGGGGCACATGGCTTTTGTGGAAGGCATGGGTACTGGGACGACCCTGTTTAGTGGTCAAGAGATAATTCAATCAGAGACTAGCTCGGGTGGCAAGTGAACCTAAGTGAACCTAAGAGTTTTCACCCACAAGAAAGACAAGCCAACAACCACTTTTATGATTAATTCGAGACAAAAAAGTAAGACATGGCCGCCCGGCCCACTGTAAGTCGAAAACCAAACATTAAGACATATTCAAGTAAGACATTGCAGATGATCTTAATTTCTTCAGCCACGCACAAGCCAAGAATCGCATAGAATAAACTGACCCACATATGCTCTAGAGATCTAGAACGAGCCGAGGTAGGCTTTTCTAAGCTAGGCTGATGAGCTCCATGTTTAGATCACCCGACTCTCTGAGTGGGCAGGGAGGGGCAGGGAGGCAAACGAGCACCACGCTCACCACGCTGCTCTCGCAGGTGGCAAGGTCCTGAAAGCACTGAAGCCAATGTGATGGCTGGATACCAGGCAGTGGGCAGATGTGGGCAGGGAACTGTTTGTATTCATGAACCATCCTAATTGGTTGAATCTGCCATACCAGGACCTTCAGTCAGTGACCTCCAAATGGAGTGTCTCAGTGACCTCCAAATGGAGTCTCTTCAGGGACCTCCCATCTCATCCTTAGATCCCATACCTTCGGGCACTTGATCTCTTCAGGTCCCGGTCTGTGACTTCCAAGAGGTAATTAGCCAGGACCCGTCACCTGGGGTACCGAACTGGGATGGTCTAGTTCGGGTCCTTCCACCTTTGTTGGTTTTTGATGGTTTTTGCATGCAACCCACCGGTCTAGCCGCTTTTGGCAATGGTTCCCTCTCTCCCGCGGGGGGTCTGGGGAAGAGGCCGAGACCCAGCGAGACCCAGGTCTGGGGAAGACAGCAAGCCCAAAACAGACCGTGTGCCCGTTGCTTTCATTGAGGTCACATGGGGTAAATGATGGCAAATGTAACTCTTCTACAGATGGATGTTTTGGGATATATACCTTTTAGATGAGCAGAGCAAGCAGAACAAGGCTTGACCTTGGTCGCCAGGCTTGACCTTGTGCAGGTGGCATTTTGGTGGGCAATGAACTAGAACTCGCCAACTGAATCTGAGAATCCGAAGACCAAGACTTCTGTGGTCCAAGACTTCAAGCAAACAGACCCTACTATCGTTGAATCGAGCCAATGCAATGTCCTGTGGTTGTAGAGTGATTTGGATGGAAGGTCCATTGAAAACATGAACGCGTGAAGAATCCCCTGGAGTGGAAAGATGTGAACGAACGCCGGATCCACACCGGGATCTTCCGGAAAGATTTGCCGAAGAAGAACTGGCTGGTTTGTAGATCAACAGGCAGAATAGTTGGAAGATCTAGGTGTATCTATGATATATATATATATATATACACATACATGTCTTTACCTCTTAGCACAGGTTCAAAGGAACCCTCCCAACCTACCCACTTCATCTCCCCACCTCGGCAGAAATTTCACCCCTCCGGAGGAGGCTCCCAGACCCACCGGTCGCTCCACCGGTGGGTTAAGCGGCGGACGCGGCAGAGAACAGACGGATCAGGGCGAGTGGTTTTCTTCCGATCAGCTGATGGAAGAAGACCCACAACAATACATCTGGGAATATTTGAGATCCGTAGGTATCTGTAGGGCCAGTATATAGCCGTAATTAGTGCTCTGTTGAGTGTATTAGTCTCAGCGTTTAAGGATGTCCGATGCTATTCACTTTCTTCCATGACCTCCCTGGCCATCTCCAAAGGCATCGGAGCTGATGTATGCAGCAGTGCAACATGCTCGCTGTCACGAGCCAAAGATGGATATGCGCCTCGGTGACAAAGGACGTTGGAAGTGGATGGCATGGCCCCTTGGCCTTGGCTGACCATGTTCCTCTACAAACAGATCACTTCCATGATTATTTCAGGGAGTGTTTGTGTTTGTTTTCTCGGTTGGCCAGGTCGGACGGAGGCAGGTTAGACTTGTTGTTTTTGAGTGTTTTGTTGAAGAGGGGCCCATGATCGTTAGTCACATGTTCAACGCTGGCCGCAACCCTTCTCAGGATGGACTTCTACATACAGCAGTGCCATTTGCGCTGGCGATATTTGCTGATGCTGACAGCCGAGACGGCGCGAAATCTACTTCTGCAAGATCGGAACATCTTGGCTGGCAGCAAGCTGATGAGCGCTGCACGCTCCTATCTTCGAGAGATGAAGCAGCTGCCGAATGTTGAGTTTCTGGAAGCAAATTCACGTAAGACTGGGGACCAAAGGCTGCTCATTGCATTTGCGTAAGCATCTTGAGTAGAACCATTCATGTACACCTTGCCTTGGTGTATATTTAGGTACTTTTTGGATTATTTTACATTACTTAGCTAGATGTAACAGAAATGAACACACCACTCATAGCCCTTGGAAGTAGCACTTAATTAGTTAGTGTTTGCCTAATAGTTGCTATTTTTAAACTTGCCAACTTGCCGGAGTTGTTTTTTTTCGCACAAAAGCGCTTATTCCAGACCTCAGTCTAGACTTCTTTGTCTTTGTCAGTCAACATGGGCTGCCCTTGTTTTCTTTAGGCCATAAAGATCTGTATGTTTTCTTCAGCGTCCCATCTTGGGAGCATGGCGGCGTGAAGCCCTGACACTGCGTGGGAGCCATCCAAGTGTTTGTTCAACAAGCTATAAGGCGTTTTGTCATTTGTGTGCTTTCAGGCACGTGAGTGGTTGGCATGTGCCCAACTATGTCATTCGATCGAGATTCGAATTGCACATGTTCCAACCTTCCAAAGACACTTCTGTTGAATTCCTCCCAGTGCTGCATGGAAAACAGACGCTCTACCGTGTTTTCTTTTGCCCTGAGGCTGCTGCAGGGCTTTAGTACGCATGAAGTGAGTTTCAACATGGACTACTTCCCCGCTGCCACACTGCTGCATGGCCCGGTCTGGAAGAATCCAGTGCAGCTGCTGCCCGTGGCAAAGGTCTTGGAAGACAACTATTTGATGATCCGTTCGGAGCTCGAAGGGATCTTGAACTATGTCCTTCTTTGAGCAGATTTGTCTTACGGATATGTTTGATGCGAGTGTCTTTTTGTACGCACTTCAGGCTCATGTTGCACTAATCTATCGTGTGCAAAACGTAGAACATCGTAGATAGATGGCTTTCTGCGATCATCAATCCAATCCACCCACCTTTAAAGATCATGACTGTTTACCCTCCCCATCGGAGCGTATGTATCAAACCAGACAAACATTGTGAGAATAAGCCACCAGACCAGCCAGACCAGCCGATGAGACCAAAATCCTGAGACAGATCATTTACAGTGGTTTCAGAGTAGATGGCACACACCCCAAGTTCGGTGGTTTTTGTGCATAGGAGATCTTGGGGTAGATGCAACCACTTTACGAAGATTCCAACTACTCTTCAGCCAAACCATGGAAAGAGTTTTGAGATGTTTTGAGAGTGTCTCCCCGAAGAAGGTCGGGTCCTTGCCCAAAAGTATTTTTAGGGAGGGGACGAGTAGTTCTTTTTTATCAGGATTGCCCTCATTGTGCAACCTTGTTGACCCAAGCACCCGCACCTAAGGAAAGCTGGCACTACGTTTCATGACTTGGACCAAACCACCCGCAATGCTGAGACACAGTTTGGCCCTCGAGGAGACGACTGGCTGACCGCGTATCTCTTCCGGAAGGGGGAGCCTATTCCACAGGTGTGCGCCCATGCGCCGCAGACGCCTGGAGATTGGCGCAGAAGATCTTTCATACATATGGAATCATACGGATATATCTTGTTTGCCCTCCAAACATCTTCCAGCCTGTAAGCAAAATGATGTTTCATTACTACTTTGTGATGCTTTCAGGCCTGTGTTACCAGTACAGCTATAATAGATAAAGGCTCTCATTAAAACCCCGTGAGAGCGCGCTCCAACTCCACTCAGTTGAAGCAGAGCCACGGCCACATCTTAACGCAGCTTGCCCACCCCATCTCTACCTCAGCGCGGCCCCGTGGCTTATCGCATCGCGCGGCCTAGGACCTGCGAGCTGCTGCGGCAGCGTCCAGAGATTGGACAGTGCAAGCAGCCGGGCTCGGGCGCCGGGTTCTTGCGGATGCGCCCCTCTGGACGGCTCAAGCCGCACTTCGGGAACGCCCCCCGCCACTGGGCATGGGTTTGGGTTTAAGTCACCGACTAATTCATTGAAACAAAGCTAGGGAGTACCCTCCCCGCCATTGTGACAGAAACTGATGGTTTGCCACAAGCCTATGTATCGAGTATATTTTGAGGGCGAGTGGTTTGAGTTTGTATTTTTGTTTTCTTTTTACATATTGTCGCACGTCCAAGAGGGGTCAAATGCCGAGGCTTAAGCGTCCATTTGGGCCTGATCATTCCGGATGGTGAGATTACCATGTCAGTCGGCTATGAAGAGGTGCGATGGGAGGAAGGAAAGGTCATTGCCTTTGATGACACCTTCATCCATCAGGCCTCATGGCTTCAAGATGTCCCACTGGTGGCGCTGTGTTGTTCACTGTCGCAGTTGCACTGGATGAGCCAGGTTCCAAACAGTGCATTGCTTGACGCTGATATCACGGTGGCAAGAAGAAAAAGAAATGTAATTCGGTCATTTATACGATTTATAGACTCTTTTCTTTTGGACAGCCCGATTCCAGCCAACAGATATTCATTGCTCATTACGAATTAGGGCGATGTTCAACGCCCGGGCATATGAGCACAGACAATCCTCATGGCTCATGAGGTTGTGCACAATGGCTTGGAACCCAGATATGTGATGCTGCTTGGCTTGCAAACATCGGAAATCGATGAAACTTGAAACATCGGAATTTCCAAAGACGGTGTACCTCGACCGGCTGCTGGCCGGTGGGGCTTGTCTTTTTGCGAAAGAAGCTGGTGTACATGAATGGCTGGATTTCTTAATGAATGGTGGCTGGATAGGTCTACATGAATTTGGACAGTGAATGATGTTGAATGTAGGTTTTCACACATGTTAAATATCTATAGATGATACATATCTCGACTCTACTGGAATTCCCTTTGAATGCTCGGATCTTAGGAATCTTTGGATGTGCCATCCATGTGATCCCTTTGATGGACGGCTCCCGGGATCAGCGCTGCCTGAGTACTGTGGTGGTCCACCAGGAGCCATGCATAGGCTGGGTTTACAGCCCTTGCCTGCAAAGCCTTCATGAGGCCGAGCAATGGGGTCAAAACTGTGCAAGATGCAGAGACAAACACGTTTGCGGGTCAAGCCTAATTACGACAGTTATGTTTCTGGTGACCATGCAGTGTTGTGTGTAGCCTGGAAATGGACAGCACTTGAACACATTGTTTTGACCCAAAGCTTTCTGAGATTCCACTTTGCTGTCAATGTCCCAAGCTCATCTAACAAGTGAAACCGGTGGTGCGTGTCTCAAGTCCAGCTGCAGCACTTTGGTTCACGCTGTTTTTTGCTCCTTGTTCTCAAGAGCAATGAACCAATTTTGTGTGTTTGAAGAACACGCCATCGGCTGGAAATATATGGTGTTTGTGCTGGACCATGGAACCTACACTGCCAACTCCATTGACCCAGTGGGCAGGTTGATTGCTGAAGACGACTCAACGTGAAAGTTGTCAAATGCATGATCCCCAAGGTTACCTTATATAGTTTGTTGGAGGGGCTGTGATTTGCTCCCTCAAAAGTGGATTCCTGGTATGAAATCATGTTCCGGTGTTCAGATGTGCAAATGATATCGAGTGATTCAATTCATGCATTGTTGTTTCTTTCACCATCAAAGTCATGAGTTTGGGTCCGGGTCAGAAGATTCGTGCGAAGAACCCCTGTCATGCAGATGAAGTGGACGGGAGTGGTAGACAAAGATCTACGTGTCCATTTGGTAGAGTTCAAGACCACAATCAGTAGCATTAGGCACCTATAGGCACCTCAGACCTATGTTTCTGAGGATTGGGCCAAAAAGAACGCGCTCAAACGGAGGTGTCGGCCTTGCGTGAAATCACGCCTTCGGAGCTGTCGGTGTCAAGGTGCAAAAACCGGAAACAGCTGGGGTCCATCGGGATCCGTTTTTGGGTATGTTATGTTGGTCCCCAAAAAGAGGTGTTGAACACATGTTGATTTCGATTGGCACAGTGACAGCTGATGTTTGTTCTCAGATTTGCACCACATGTTGCCCGTAGTTTTTTGTGTCTTGGAGCATGAGAAAACTCTCCCAGAAATGACCTTTGGGTTTTCATGGACTTTGGCCATTTGGGTTCAACTCACCTTCACCGCCCCAGTCTGAAACCTTTGCCAAGCAGCAGTTTTATGCAACCTCACATTTGCGCACAACACCGATTGTTCGTTGTCGCACGAGGTATCACGAGATGCACAAATCAACACTAGACTATACTTGGGACTTGGCTAATCTATGCCAGCGAATCTTCAAACAACACCAAGTATGCGTGATGATCCGAGAATCCAGATCACCCTCCTGCAAATCAACAGGTGAAACGGAGGGAAACCGCCCGGAGCGAGCTCCGTTCTCAACCCATGACGGTGGATGTGCCACGCAATCGCTGGGCGAAGCATGCCGCAGAGCGGGACCAGCAGATCCAAAGCGCGGCCATTGCGATGCAAGCGGCTTGGGCGAACAAATGATGGAAGAACGGGGGGGCAGCCTGGTCAAAAGAATGAGGTGCAACATTAGGTTACGTATGTTGTATGACAGGTCAGAAAACACTTTCGAGAATTTCATAGAATTTCAATCAAGTTGGTACTCTCGCAGTATCCCAAACATGTTTTTTTATTTGCCCTCCAACAAAACGTGGAAGTGAACAATCCCTTGTTTGTAGAGCCTTTCGTGGTCTTTCCAGTGGTCATACCATCCACTTCCATGACTATTTCAGGGAGTGTAAATTGTGTTCTTTTCCCTTTGATTGCAAGATTGTCTCCTTTCATGAGGACGTTGGAGGGAGGGTACCGCCGTTGGTCCGTTGGCAACGAGGTGTTGCTTCCCGAACTCTCAGAGGAGAAGATCAAGTCTTGCCCCTCGGAGCGATGAGCAAGTCACAGCGGTGAGTTGTTCGAGTTAGTGGTGGTTCTAAGAACTGGTGGTTCTATGATAGGTAGGTGGTTCCTATAATATCTTATAATCACATTCTATGTAATGTAATCTTCTAGTAGATGGTGGTTGTTGAATCTTCATCCCATTCACATCTTATTTGGATGGCCAGAGGAGGGGTAAAGATGGGGTAAAGTTCTAGCAACGTGCTTTTCAGGATCTATAATATAGGTCCATGTTCATTTCCAAAAAACACCTCTCCCCACCACCCCGACCGACCTGAAACGCGTATCGTATCGTTCAGGCCTCCGTGCCAATAGCTGCAATCCGGACCGCGCCTTCGACCAGTTGGCAGATCCCATGGGGTCGCTCCACGACTTCGACGACGACTTGGGCGACGCCCTGGCGGCGATCGAGGCGGCGGGGATGGCGGACGTGGCAGCGGAGGCGAAGTCTGACACCGTGGAGGAGGTGACGGGTCGGGGTGTCGGGTGGTGAAGAAGACGTTCGGTGTCGGTGGGGGGATGGGTTGCATGTCGTAGCGTCGTAGAAGGGACCGCACGGCAAACCCTTGCCAGCACGAGGACAATATAGACTAAGTGAACATGAGTTGGGAGAGGAGGGACAAAGCTGTCTCCAGGTCAAAGAATGTCAAACATGCAATGGCACACTGAAATGCGATATCAATGCTTGACATACCTTGCTGACCGGTATGAACACGTCGGGAACCCAAAAACTGCACAGGTGAGGAGGTCTATTTCTCGAAGGTTCCAGACCCCTCTAGGGCTAGTCTAGACTTGCAGTATGCTTGCGGCCGTGCCGTTGTATCTTTCAAGTAGCTGAAGCACTGGGACACTTGGATGAACAATTAACACAATGAACACAAGTTATTGGAATAGGTCCAGGTAGCTTCTTTCTTTTGATCAACATCATCATCGTTCTTTGCCTTCTTGTCACTTGTCTAGCTGTTTTTTTCTCAGGTCTCCATCCCTCCGGACTTGGCTGCCGACCGCACACCGGTCCATTCTGCGCCCACGTTGCCGGCAGAGCTGGCTGCTTTGGTGAAAGAAGTCGCTGAAGCCGTGCCCGTCCTCCACTCAGACGTCCCACCAGCCCCGTTCCACGCGCCGCGTGGGCGTTCCACGCCGCGTGAAGAACGCCCTGCACCTTCCGGGCCGGTCGTGGAGGTGAAGGAGGAAGTTGAATCGAAGCCCAGTGTGCCGGACTGGCTTCCCATGTTGAAGCCAGTGGAAAGCAATGTCTCCAAGCGCCTTGGTGCGTGCATGAACTCTGAGTTGAAGGATTCAGGGAGCATTCGAGGTGGTTGTGTCCTACATGTCCTTAGTAGAGTTAAGATGTTTGGAGACATGTGATTCTTGCAGCGCGGCTGCAGAATGTTTAATGCATGGATTGACATCAAAAGGTATATGTTTCAAGCAAGTCTAGTCTTTTTCATTGACCTTGGTTTTGCGGCCTACCGACCTGCCTGCCGTCTCCGTCAGTTTCATCCATTAGCTGCGCCTACCCGCCACTGAGGCGCAGCTTTTACGACAAGCAGACCGACCGGCTCAAGGTGCGGCTGAACAACTGCCAGCCGTTGGACGTTACACAATGGTCATTCATGATGCACTCGTTTCGATGAAGACAGAAAGGATGATCATAGCTGAAGCAAGACACATTCCACCGAGTGATGAGGGCAGTGATGAAGGCGAGTTGTTCAGTTGTTCGTCCAGACTCCAGAGGTGTCCACCGAAGAAGGGAGGCCAGTGCCATATATGGATCCACCGTAATCGTCATTGTTGGTGGCTCCACCGTCGAAAGGACACCCTGTTGTAGAAGACACATGGAAATCTGTTTGCTGCAAGGGTCACCCTTTCACCAAAAGGTCATCCATGTCGGCCTAAAGGTCATCCACAGCTTCTTCCTTGCCACTTCCCGCACTTGGGTTCACCGGATCGAGGTTTCTGGACACAAACACATGGTTGTAGACACGCGGGAGGTTTGAAAACGCTCTCTCGAGCAATGCGAAAACCGCAGATAAGGAAGCACACGCTCTCAGCAGCCAGGAGCAATGAGCATCAAGACATACCTTCAATCAGATGCTCAGACGTACATCAAGACGGTATAAGAATGTGACTGGTTGCAAGACATACCTTCCAAGACGTGCATGTTGAAACGCATCAGATGATCAGACTGGATTCTTTGCAACCCTCATCAGAGCTCAATGACATCAGAGCTCAGCTGATTCCAGTTTCGCAAAGCATGGACACATAAGTGCAGTACGACACACTCTTGTGGTGTTTTGGCACGCCCGTGTCAGTCTGTATGGGGATGGGCCAAGTCTTGGAGCCCTGGTTCACCATGTGCCGAACGACCGACACCAGGTAGGTCAACCAGACCCACAAACATTTGGTTGGCCTGCGCAAGCGTGTCAGCCAGGCCGCCTTAGGTCCAGCACCCAAGGTGGAGCCGGTGCCCTCGGCACACGAGAGAGACGTGCGAGGCGTGTTCGCCGGGGACGCGAGACGTGGAGGTGACTTAAGAGTCATTAGGATGGACCCTGAGAGTTGATTGGCCAAACTAACAATGGACCCTGAGAGTTCACCGTGGACCGTGAAAGTTCACCGTGGAAAGACCCTCTTTTGCAACCCTGTGGTTGAGGGGTTCCATGTGGTCCTCGAGAGCAAGAACTTAAAGTGGACGAGTTGTATGACTTACACATATAGATCGCGGATGATTGGACTTTCAGAGTGGGTAGCTGCTGTTTTGCAAACATTGATGGACACTATGAAGTATCTCTCATCAAGGGCCACAGCGTCTTGCAGGTATCATGGTTTGGTTTCACACACATTCCTTTGGTCACACTGATTTTGTGGTCTCTAGCTGGGAGGTCCATCAGCTTTTAGGCACACAGGCGATCTAACTCAAACGAAGGGACTTGTATATCATGAACTATATGCCTATACAATCCTATACATTACATTGACCCTTTTGAAGCACCCCAACTGATCGGTTGGAACAACTCCCCGTGCAATTTCTGCTATGGCTGCTGTGGAGTCTTTGGGTTTGGACCGTGTGTTGTCTCTTTGACCCCCGCCAGTCCCTTCAGGTTTGCGCCAGGGAGGCTGAGGCTCAAGCCGCCCCTCACGAGGGGGTGGATGAAGATAGGCCAAGTGAAAGCGGCAGAACCCGCTGGCGAACGGTTCATCCGTGGTGGTAGCGAAGTATCACGTGGTAGCGCATTGACCATTGAAACAACATGACCACCATATGTTTGTTGCATTGTTGTGTCTTATAGATGAAGCATACTGTAGGAACCATACAATAATATATCATAGTAACATCGTTCTCCTCCAGCCAGCGCAGTGGCGTTTTCACTTGGCATTGGCTGATACTAGTGCCGGCCCTGACATCATGTTTGAACCTTTTGAACATGAGATGCATACTCAAGTTTGTACATGGGCCAACAAAACACCCGACTTTGTGGATTGTTCTTTAAGAGCTTTTGCCAGGGCTTTGTCTTGAACCAGGGTCAACTCCAAGCTCCTGGTGGCTGGGTGACTCTCCTGCTGAGACTCCAGTCGTGAGGTGAGATGCAGGAGATGAGTTGGCCCACCAAACGAGGAGTGACCAAGACCAGTCCATTTGGGCCGAATGGATCACCAAAGAACACCAAACACATGCAAGAGGGAAGAATGGGAGCAACATCTGGTCAACCACTGGAGATGGGCATACCATGGGGATACCCAACTATCTTTTTTACGACATGGTCGTTTGAGTGCCGAATGCCTTTCTTTCAGTATCTTTCAACCATACAACTATTTAAGCTGTTCAGCTTGATCTTTGATCTGATCCATCGTCTATTTTCTGGCACAACACGTCAAGGTGCCACCGATGTACAGATGTACAGACGAATTGCTGATGGGGTCAAGTGAAAAGAGAAGAATCTGCACGGCGCCTGAACGGATCGTCTTGTGCATGCTTGTACTCTCTTTGGCTCGAATAGATTCTGTACAACGAGCTACTCAGCTACTTGAACTCTTAAGGCTCTCAAGCGTGCCGGAACCCTCTCATATGTAGGAAGTACATTAATCCAAACAAAAACTGTCCAGGTTCACTTCACGTTCACCTTTTTCGGAGGGACATCACCCTCATGTGCGGATGCAACGACACCGGCGCCAAGACCGGCACTGGACTTGACCGGTCTTGATCGGCTCAAGGGTCAGAATCAAAGAAGCATGCTCTCGCAGCTCTGAAAAGAGCAAATTCTCAAGCCCTTCAAAGTTCATCCAGATTAGAACAAAAATGTCTAATTTGATTTGTCGACAGATGATGCAAGGGTGTGCAACAAACTGTTTGATCTAGGAGAGAAGTCTTGCAGATATAGAAAATCCCAGTGAACCGTTACACCCACGTGGCACGCCGGATTCAACCACGTCTTCAGCCAGACGAGGCCTGCCACAACACAGAAGGCCATAGGCAGCTTGTTGTGGCACATTGCGGCACAAATGTAGGTCTCATTTGCCAGTGACTGGGACAGCCAGCATTCAGTCTTGGGTTGGTTGTCTTGCATGTCGCTGTCGATGCCATCGATGCTTGAGAACGTGTGTTATGTATTTTGTCTCCGAAGATCGGCAACTCCATGGCTTAATGGCAAAGTTGTAATTCTTGGTTGAACCCTTTGTTCAGTTGTGCCCCCGTGTCATTCTCCAACAGCAACCACGTTAGTTTATCCGAGCAGAACAGAAGAACATAAAGGAAGCTGTCACAGACTCCCAAAGACTCGCGATGTCCGCTGTGACGAAAGAGCGAAACAAAGAAACACAAGGGACTCAGACGCTCCATGGTGGCGCCAACAGGACCTATAGACGAAAAACCACCGCAAAAACCACCAGTGTCTTACCATGTAGGCCAAACAAAATGCAGTCCCAAGGAAATCAACCCAGCACCCTGGAAGCTGTGCTTCCGTCCGGTGCCAAAACGGGACCCGTCCGTGTCCCGCCAGGGCAGCATGCGACGGCTTTTTGGTCTCTCCAAGGATTGGCCAAGTTGGGGTGAGGGGATGGGACCGGAAAGGGATCGGCAGATGACAGAGTCAAAAGCTGGAAAGCAGATGACAGACTGAGCACTCAGAAGCAAGGGACAAGAATGGAACACACGGGCCCAAGAAAGATGTTTGTAGAAGATTAGACAGCTGTCATTGCTAAATTGAAGCAGGTTCTCTTGAACATCCACAAGCTGATTTATTGCGCATCCGAAAGCTGAGTGACTTGCTCAAGCTGTCAAAGACACCAGCAAACTCATTTTTTGAGATGGGTTGCAGCCCAGGAAAGTTGGATGAACCTGCGACCAAGGCTGCCTTGGGAGCCATCACCAAGGAGTATCCTGTGCGAATGCCGTGCTTGCCAGGTGATGTGTTAGTGAGTGGAAACTTGCCCGAACACGTGGTGGGGCAGCTGGCGGACCACTGCAAAGGATGGATCTATGTGAATCCGGATTCCGACCCGCACTTCATGCCACAAGCAATCAAGTCGAAAGGCTCCAAGTTGGAAGTCGTTCCCTTCAAGCCTGCCAAGGACCCCTGCGAAGGATTGCTGTGATTTGAGCGGTGGACGTGCAGGGAAGTGCAGATAGGTACTCAAAGCAGAGAGACCCTGGTCACCTGAAATACGAGGATGAATCAACCGCTCCAAGCTGAGTGACCCCTGTTTGTTGGAGTAGCAACCATCCAAATACCCCCATATTTATCATATTTGGCCTTTCCCAATCAACACAGGTGTGTCGATGAGTCGATGAATGATTATGCATGAACTTCCCTCGATGATGACGATCATCCAATATACAAGTTCCATATAAATACATGGTCCAAGTTTGTTCCTGTAGATAATAGTTTGTTGACGGTGAAGTTCTGAAGATGTTTGATGTTTGATTCATCCGAGGACACAGTCCAATATTGCTTCACCCTCGCTCTGGGTAAACATGCTTGTGAGGAACCTGCTACCGTATAAGGAACAACATGCAGAGATATGCAGGTGTTCCAGTGATTCCGGGTTTGGGCGTGACTGTGCCATGTTTTTGACGAATCAAAAGTAAAGGCAACCAAAAAGGACACACACACACACACATGTGGGTTTGTTTCGGTCCGCAGTACTTCTCGCAGCTGTTCAGTACTTATGATAAATTTATCTTATGATAATTACAATGGATCACACGGAAACGCCGGTGTTTGGCTGTGATTGCAGGATTTGTCCTCCGGCGTGGTTGATCAATTGGTGAAAGCTATTGCGGATATGCCTCGGCCACTCATGATCCAGTGTACCTCAGCAAATCGAGCAGCCATTGCCCTTTTGCTTTGGCTGGCCAGGGTGCTTTGCAGCAATTTATTGGGTCGGGTGGGGTAGGGTAACAGGGCAATCCGTGATTGACCCTATTGCTGTTTCATATTGGATCTAGTTCTAATTATCATTGAAAAATATTGAATATATATTTTAAGGATTTTTACAGTAAGGTGTTCTTCTGAAAGATTCCACTCACGCAGGCACCTGAGTGATTCCACGTTTCTCGTTTTGCTGTGATTTGCTCGGATCCGGGTCGTTTCTGTGATGACTCACGTTAATGAAGATAGGCTTTGGACACGTGTTGAGGGAAAATTGCAATTAGGTTTTGCAAAATCTTAGAACAATTGTTGGTGCTGGTGCTCCCCAGTTCTTTTGATCGAATCGACCAGGGCGGCCCAGAGGTTCCTGAGATCATGGGATGGAGACTGCGATTGGCAAATAAGTGCTGTACGCCTGATATAGACACTATATATATACATAATCACATATAGTATCACATATACATTTATATGTCCAGAAGTTAGAAAAGATGACTCAACTGCATGTGACATAATATGTGACATCCTCCACTCCCAGTTCTGAGACGGAGAGCTTTGGACCACCAGTGCCACCCAGGAACGAGGCTACACCCGAGGCTCCGCCGAGCTCTTGATCTCAGATCTGAGTCTCGACACCGTGCGCCCCGACGCAGCGCAATGGCTCAGCAGCCGCTTGCCCGATCTGGAGACGCCAGAGAACCCCCGCGTGCTGGTGCCCAGGTGCAGGGTGCGTTTCTGGAGCGCGTTTGTGCCGGGCGATTTTTGGGGTGAGCGTGGCGTCGTGGCGTAATGGGTTTTGGAAGAAGTGGTTGTGGTTTGATAGGTGTGGAATCCATGTAAAGGATCTCAATCTGATCATCCTTTCATGGATGATGTCTGCTTGATTTGTTTTTCTCGGCTGGATGAAGGCATGCTGACGGGTATGCAAGTCACGCACAGTGGGTATGCAAGTCATTTCATCAATGCACACAATTGGCTGTTCGACCTATTTGGTAGATGTTGGTTAATTGATGTGACGCCCGCGGCGTGCAATTCATCAGTTCATCCTGGCGTCACCAAGATCCCACCTAATTAATGTAGACTCTTGATCAATAAACCCTTCCATTGGAATTGGAAGTCCTCTTCATATGGGGGGTTTATGGTCCTCAAGAGTCTCCATGATAGTCACTACCCTAGCCAGTGACGAGTCAAGGGCGTCCAGTGACAAGAAGTGTTGTTCTCCCTGTGGCTTCTTCAGCTGTTGGCGGCCCGGCCTTCACCGGCCGTCCCACGGTGTGGCTCCAGACCATCACGGCCGTTGGTATCAGCCTGTGTTTTCTTTTCCCAGCCCTAGACACTTCATGGGACTGCCATATATATAATGTATGCTTACATTGGGCTGGTTGACTGGGGGTCAATGGGGCGGCATATATGGCAGTCCCACTAGTCGTGTTTGGGTATGGAATTGTACATATTTGGGGGGCGGTTTCAGGGTCAGATGCCACACATGGAGTATTTCGGAGCCTCCCTTTGGTGGGAAGGCGTTCCAGAACAACGCTTAGGATCCGACGATCGTGGACCCCCAAAAAACACCCAACAGCCAAAAGCACACAGAGGCAAATCTGAAGCAGAACAGTTGAAGGATGATTAATATCATATAGTCTGAACAGGGTTTCCTGGTGGTTTCCTTCGCATTTCAATATTTTGTTGTTGTTGTTGTCGTCGTTGTCGTTGTCGTTGTCGTTGTTGTTGTTGTTGTTGTTGTTGCTGAATGGAGTCTCCTGGTCCTCCTGAAGTCCTCCGCCCCACAAAACTGCGCTTCTCGCCCCCTCCCAGGAGCCCCGAGGTCCAGCAGCTCTTCGATGTAGAGACCAGCACCTTCAGCCACTAAGCGAAAAAGCCAGTGGTGGAGACAATATGGGTGTGCTTTTTTACTAGGGAGACCCGCAAAAAAATTGTGTTTGAGCAATTTTCTTGCCTTCCTGCGTCTTTGGGAGGCCTTCCTATTTTAATACACACGCTGAGGAAGGACTATGGCCCTGTGGAACGAGGGAAATAGACTCAGACCCCTGCAGTGTTCGATAGCTAGTCCCCTCCTTATGCGGCGCACTGGGAAATCAACATGATTGATTTTGATTGAGTTGCATGGATATTTACTTCATTTCTATCAATATTATTGTACTATTACATATATATATATATATATATGTATGCACAGTATATATGCACACATACAGTATATATATATATACTGTACTGTATGTATATAATATATATATATATATGTACATATGCAGGTGTCTCGTGTTGTTTTGTCGAGGGTGTCCAGAGCACCCTGGATCGGCCGAGGCTACCTGCTGAGCTGTCCGGAGACCTCCGAGGCGGTGTTGATTGATCCAGTGTTGGAGCAAAAGGAGCGAGACCTGAAGGTCCCTTGGAGCTGGAGGTCCTCCATGGTCCGAATGAATACGAAAGATCTGAAAGGTGAGGACGATGATGCTGATCATGTATGTCAAATAACATGGTAAACGATGATCATAGTTCTGGAATGTGGTGTATCGGTGTATCTTATTTGGTGAATTCAGCATCATACATAGAAGCTACGAACCTGGCTCCTGGCCTTACTAGGAGCGATCGGACGCTACGAACGGGGCGAAACTGGCATCGCTACTAGAAGCAAGAAATTACGAACGTAACAAGAAGTGATACAGGGACCCCTTAAACTCACAGGCTGATAAGACCCCTTTAAGCTTATAGGGACTTCTCGCACGGTCACGAGCACGGCATCTTCAGACGCAAGGAAGGCGGTTTGAGTGACTCATGGACGGACTGGTTCGTCGTTGTGGGGACTCGGACTGGAAAGGGGAATAACATGGAACAACGGAACAACATAGTCCGAACGCATCTGAAGCATGGTCCGAAAATATCAAAAGTATGCCCAATTGAACGCGGGGACATGAGCTCTAGATCTTGCAAGCCACCCATGTGCTACGTTCATGTTTTTTTACGAAACTGAGCCTGCACGCTTCTGCCTGATCTTGCAGCCTGATCTGAGGTGATCAAAAACTTGGGCCTTACCTTGAAGTATGTCATCAACACCCATTGCCATGCAGATCACATCACTTCGGGTGGGAAGATACGTGAAGACATGCCCTCTGTGAAGACCATAATCTCAGAAGCCTCAGGAGCGAAGGCTGATCTGCACATTCGGCATGGGGATAAGATCAGTTTTGGCAATCTTTGCTTGGAAGCTTGGACCTGGAAAGAGAGTGCTTCTTTGGTTAAAGATTCAGATGGCCAAAGAGAATTGAGATGACAACTAGGAGGAGGCGTAGACCAACTCTATCCCCTTATCTGCCCATAGCAACTTCAAGTAGACAGATTTCAACAACTTTCCGCTCCAAGGAAGTGCGTGCTACTCCGGGACACACGGATGGCTGCGTGACGTTTCTTTTGCAGACCAAGAGTGCAAGTTTTGCTTTCACGGGTGATACTCTCCTCATCAGAGGATGTGGGAGAACTGACTTTCAGCAAGGTGATGCACGTTTGCTGTACAAGAACGTGCATGAGCAGATCCTCGGATCAGACATTTTTGGAGCTTCACACAACGTTACTGCAAACATATCACAATCACATCATATCAACAAAAACGTATCCATTTGCGGAGGGGAACTTCCTTTTAAAAACAAAACTGTAGATGCAAACCAGGGGGCCGGGGTCGGGTCAACACAAGTCTATTGAATAAAGCATCGATTTTGAAATCAATGCCGTAATGGGGCATGATACCACAAAACATGCACGCAAAAACAACACGTTTAACATCTAACATGTTGGTGACTGTTCCAGTTGTGCTTTGTTTTACAGTATTGAATTTGTGTTGTTCATTTGTGCGGTTTACCATGTTTGCTTTGTCTTATGTGTACGTGTGTGTGTGTGTTTTCTTATGCTTTCAAAGTCTTGTGGAGGGCCTACCTACCTGATCGAGACCCCTCGTGTTTGAGCCTTGTGTTGAACCTAATAAGTGGAATATCGTGTTCATATAAGTTGACAAAACCTACAAATTTCTGAAAGAAAAATCAAGGACACCCTGTTGACCGGGTTCCTTATACATCCTTGTACCAAAGCCAAAGATGTTGACTTCACAACACATGTTTCAGATGCATTCTTGTGCATGTTGATGTGTTGTTGTTCTTTCTGCTAGCCAGTTAAATGATGGGACTCAAACAACAACCTTTCAACTCAACTAAACCACGACTTTTGCCAATCGTTTTTTTGTCAAATTGTGAGCTGAATGGTGCGTCGCTTCTAAGGATCTTCACTTTGCCGGGCGAGACCTTCATTTGTCCTGGCCATGACTACAAGGGTCGCAGCATCTCCACTGTGGAGGAAGAGCGACGTTTCAACCCACGCTTGACCAAAAGTGTGGAGGAATTCGTCCAAATGATGGAGAATCTGGGGCTGCCATATCCGAAACAGATTGATGTGGCGGTTCCTGGCAACATGATGTGTGGTGTGCAAGATAGTCCATGGGATCATCTTGCCATTTGACCAGGCGATGTGTTTTTTCGCTTCTGACACTGTCAGACAGTGGTCTTCACCGACGGACCTTCACTCCTGCAGTGATAGGACCGCTTCGCTTCGCTTTTCGACCTCCCAGAGGCGGATGAACAGCGCAGCTCGCGGACCGTTGTGGATGGACCGGGCGTGGACCGTGGACCGTGGACTTCGAGATTGAGAATCACATGTTCATACCTAGACCCCGCAAAAGACGTATTTTTTTCTGGTGGGGGCAATTTTCAGGCGAAGCTCAAAAGAACAACACAGCAAGCAGTTTTGGTGTTGATGTTTGTCGCTTCTGCGTTGTTTTTTTGTCATTTTGGCGTCATGTTTTCTATCGCGGACTTGCTGCATTTTTCTGCGTCATGTTTTCTGGCGAGACGGAAAAAAAAGACATCGTTTCAGGGTCCAGGTATGGACCGTTGAGAAATCCATAGCTGTATGTCGCGGGATCAGTTTTATAATGTTTCATATTGTTTCATGTATTCTAGCTCACATGTCTTTTGGTGAATCTGCAGAAGGGTAGCGGCGTTTCTGACGCCTTAAGGTCGCCGACATTTGCCGAGTGACCTGTAAAGTTTTATTGCGATGTGGAGACTTCACATTGCATGCGGTATGTTGAATGTGGCATGATTGAATTGGGATTGGTCATGTTTTAGATTGCATCATGATTATGATTCCATCGGGTATTTGGTTTTAGCTCTTTTTTGCAATCAAGATGACAGAAGAGCATAGGGCTCGTAAAAGAACAAGGACAGAAAGCAACCAGCACCACCCAAAGGGCGTTTTGTTCCATCCGCCTGGACTATATGTGGACTTTATGTGGTGCTGGAATAGACTCGTCGTTTGAGTGGCGGCTTCAAGAATGTGCATCTCCGGCCCGAGCTCAACGGAGCAACATCCAGGAAGAAGACTTGTATTCCTGGACCCTCCAAGGGGTGGCTTGAAGTGCATAGGTGACCTGATTCTTTCAGCTGCGGGGGGCGACTGGCGACTGTTGATCTTTGATGATCTTTGCACTGGCGTCTGGTAGAGTGTTTGGTCGCTCAGACCGTTTCCTCGCAAAACGCTTTTGACCCCACCGGGAGGTTCCTCCCGGCAGAAAACGCTCCCAGGAGGAGACGGCTCCGAAAGAGGCTCCCAGCTTGTCGGAGGCCCTTTTCGCTGGTGGAGCTACTCGGGTTTTTCAGAAGCCCCACAAAAGCCTTAACATGGGAGAAAAAGCCTTAAATTTATAGCCTATTTACATGTTTGGGCGCCCTGAAAATGCTTGCTAAGTAAGAGCTCCACTTTTGTAGGGCGTCAAGTGTGTTTTACGCAAGTGCCCCAAGCCGCGGCAAATTCAAGAACAGCACCTGGAGCCCCAACAGCATGTAGCTTGACCTTCCAGGTAGGTGAACCAAGGACTCCTGCTTTTGACCCACAGCCATATTGATTGTGGCTCACAGAGAGATTGACACCAGCTTTCATGTTCAACGACAGACTTCTGATTTGCATCGAATTGTTCCACACATGTCGAATCGATCGAGTCCAACACCTCGCAGGCGTCCACTCGCATCGATGAGCAGGCGTCCACCGGGGTGGTCCTACCATGTCCCAGCCTGGCTTCTGATTGGAAGAGGAGGGTGTGTCTTGATGACCCACATCAAAGAGCTCTTTTCCATGCTGCTTCTTAATTTGTCCAATGAAGCAGAGACATGATGCATGTTGGGTATAGTGATTGTGGAGCAGGCGACGTATCCAGCTTGCTCAAAGAGAGGGTGCCACTGGTTTCTTCCGTTTGTGATTGCGATGGCCGTCCCGAGAACTTCCTGACATTAGAGTGGGAGTGAACAGGTGGTGATTCCAATGCGCCACCTGACAAAGCAGGAACATGTGCCACTTGACCCGACAGGGCCAGGAAAAAGGGACAACCACGAAGCCAACCAGCTCAACCAAACTCTCCAACCAGCCTTGACATCTTCCTAAAGAACGTATTTGATTGCGTACGGTATTCTGGACATTTACCATGTAAAACAAAATACGCAGTAATAACGTGAAATAACACGGCCCGCCTCACGCGCAAAAACACGTCTCACCGTGGCGATAACACGTCGACGTCTCCACCGCAAGGTGTCCAACTTGGAGGCGAAGATTCAAAAGACCGACGAAGAGATCAAGAGCCTTGTGGCCAAAGGGACTGACGAAGGGTCCGACGTGCGCGGAAAAAGCTCGGACCATGGGATGTTGTTTGTTTTGGGGCGTTTGACGAAGGTGGATAGGAGGAGAGAGCTGGGTGTTTGAGAGCTGTTGCCTTACCGATGACGATGATGGTATATCTTTTATATACTGTCATCCATTTGCGGACCAGACATTTATAGGCTTAAACTCTTGGATTTCTCTTTCTAGGTTCCAGATTACGTGTTACATGGTTCCTTTCTCATGAGTGCCAGGAGCTCCAATCCGACGGCCAAGGCAAAAGCCCTTCAGGCGCGAGTCACATTGACTAAGGGGACTGGGAGGGAACGAAGGATTGAGATGGATTGAAGATGGCTCCATATATTTGCAACTTTCTTTCCAGAGGGTTTGACTTGAACTATTCCTATTCTCAGAGACATCCATAGAATTGGTGTTCAACTACAAGCAAAGTGGCCTGTAATGTTCTTCTGCTTCTCTACCTCTCTACCTCTCTCTCTCTCTCTCTCTCCTCTCTCTCTCTCCCTCTCTCTCTCTCTCCCTTGTCTTTCTCCCTCTTTCTTTCAGAGTGTTTTGATTTTTGGGTACGACAGGATCATTCAGACTGACCACTGGCACTCTTCCGTTGGCATCCAAATCCAACGACTCTTGTAAGGGCTAGCGGCTAGCTTCCGGTGGATTTGCACAATGTGACGATGGGCTTGGTCTTAGGGCTGTGATCGGGTGATGAGATGGATAGGCTTCAAGAATACAATGGCCACAGTAGGTCTGAAGAAAAGGCGAGCCAATGGCTTGAGTATCAAGCGAAACTATATACTGTACTACCATGTAATACTGTCAATCTTTCCACCATTCCACTATCGGCGTGTTTGATTGTGTTTGCTCCATGCCTCCGCGCGGTCCACTTGGCAAGGCGATGAAGAAAAAGAAAATGTACGAACAGCAAAGGGTTCAGCTCTCAGCCAAAAAACAATGATTTACGTGTACGAAACCTGGCACTAGGAAGGACAATCCCCCGATCGTTGTTTCTGTTCGCAACGCAGCAATGATCCAACATATGGCGATCCGTCGCCTTTCAAAACAGATGTGTTGGTATTGTGTGTTCCTATAGGTTTGATCAGGTTTGAATGTTGGTATTGTGTGCACGTTCTTTCTTTGATGGGTCATTGACCAAAGTCCGTCAGGTTGACAGGTTGACTTTCTCTTGAAAAGAACATGGAAACTGACAGGGTTCGAAAGCATGGGCTGCAGGGCTGCATGTACTCGCCAACCGGATGAAGAGAAAAAGGATGAACAAGGGTGTAATGAATGATTCTGGATTTATGTCACCCAGTGGCCCAGTGAATAGAAGGATGCACCAAGTTGCCAAGCTATGCCAAGTGTTGGTGGAATTGATATATCAGGTAGACCCCGGAATCTCGCCCCGATCGTCTGGGCAGACTGGTCTATTTCCCGAACCGAACCCAGGGGTCGTTGTTTGGGAGGTCCCAAATAGCGCAGCGATGCCCAAAGTCACGACTGGCTCTGAGGATCAACTCCTTGCTACACAGTCCCGAAGCTGAGCAATGCAGGAATGTTGCCAACTGCCGTGGGTCACTCCATGTGACACATCCAGGTCCCCCTATAATTATATACTATATATATAATGTATGTATACAAGACAGAGAGTATGAGTATTCGCTGTGATGCACTTGTAGGCCGATGAACATCGGTGGCTGACTGGCTAGAAGATATCAATGAAGCGTGCGTGCCATCATGAGGACGGAAGGGTTTCGATGGACTGATTTGCATGCTGGTTGTTGTCCTGGAGCCCTTTGGCCAAGGTTGCGTCCATATGGTTTCAGCTTGTTTTTAGCTCAGGGCATGCTGGTTTGTCACGTAATGCACACGTAGGATTAATAAAGGAGGACACCCCCCCCCTTCAAGGTCAACAAGGTCAACAAGGTCTGAGATTGGAGGTATCTGAGGACCACATCCCCCTAATAAAGGTGATGACCTGATGATGAAAGGGAATTTGATTTGGAAGAATTGGAATGAAAGGGAATTAGTATTTGGAAGAATTGGGCTGAAAGGGAATTAGTTTTGGAAGAATTGAGATGAAATGGAATTAGTATTTGGAAGAATTGGAATGAAAGGGAATTAGTATTTGAAAGAATTGGGCTGAAAGGGAATTAGTATTTGGAAGAATTGAGATGAAAGGGAATTAGT